GGGGGGGGGGGAGACACCCCTTGACCGAATACGGAGGGCAGTATGGGGAATGCTGTATGCCGATGATGCCGGCGTCGTATCGAGGTCTGAAGAAGGACTGGCGAGAATGATGACCATCATCGTTGAGGTGTTCGGGGAGTTCGGGCTAACGGTGTCGGAGAAGAAGACGGAGACGCTCCTGATGCGCGCAAAGGACAAGCCGACTACAACATCACAGCCCGCCGCGCCTCCACCGCTGACCATCGAAGCCGCGGGACAAAACTACGCCCAGACGACCGAGTTCCGGTACCTCGGTGGCCTCGTCAACGAACATGGCGACCTCACCCGGGAGATCAGCCACAGGAGCAGAGGAGCGTGGGCGTGCCTCAGGCGATATGGCCGGGAGCTCTTCGACAGACCGCAAGCGCCATTCCGACTCAAGATCCGCCTGCTCCAGGCGGAGGCGATGGAGGCACTGCTGTACGGCTGCATGACATGGTCACCACTCAGCGGTCACTATCAGACGCTGCGGTCGATACACCACCGACTGCTCCTTCGAGTTATCGGGTACAAGCGTAAGAAAGACACATACCGGCAGCTCTCTTACGCCCAGACGCTGAAGAGGGTCGAATGCCAGAGCGTTGAAGCCACGATCCGACAACGGCGCCTACTGCTCGCGGGAGCATTGGCAAGGCAGTCGGACGGGCGACTCCCGAAACGACTGATGCTCGGCGAACTGGCAGGGGGGGAGCAGCGACGTAAATGGGGACAGGAACAGAACTGGCCGACTTGTGTGCTCGACTACCTGAAGGCATTCGAGGCCGACCACGGATCTACGAAAACCGACCCATGTTGTCTCGGAATCCCGGTACCGAAAGGTACGGCACCGAAGTTTAAGTGGACGGAAGCCGCGAAGGTGTAGGGGGGAGTACCCTGTCATGCGGCGGTGCTGCAGGGAGCTGAGAGGTTCATGACCTCCTGGCACGAGAAGGAAGAAGACGCCAGCCGACAACGGGCGCTCAAACGAAACCACAAGCCAACAACCAATGGGGCGGGAGGGGGGCAGGAGACGGACGACGAGGGAAGAAAGCAAACGAGAAGAAACGGACCGAATGGTGCGATACGTGCCGGATTGAATTTCTGTTAGCCAATTCCCCCCCACCCAACGCTGCACCATTGCACCAACCCCCCACTAGTGATGACGAACCATTACCATGTATCGCTGGTTGGTGGCCACGTTTGCGTGTTTGCTTCTCGTTAGTGGTCTCTCCACCGTGTGCCTTTTTCTGAGTCTCTTACTGCTGTTGTTTTCGGCCTGGTCCCTTTTTGTCCTCGCTCTGTGTATTAATTCTCTTTACTTACTGTTTCCTTTTATTTTCTCATATTTTTCCCTTTTTCTCTCTTTTTCTGTGCCACATGGCCTTGTCTCTGCTTGCGTTGTGAAGTACCAAGATTGAACCAAGGGGGGTGTACCTCTTTCTCTCCGGCCCGTGATGGTGACTCCTAGTCTTAGTTGTTACCTCGCATACCGCGCAGAGGGAGTGGAGGACTCCAGAATATCTGTCGTTGATTTCTATTGACTTGCGGACCCCTCGGGACCATTTTATTTGGGTGTACCTGTTTAGGGTATGTTAGCCTGCGACCACGGGAATCGACCGCGTCAAGTGTTGTATCAGTACGGACATACAAAGGTACTGGGTAGAGAGAGATCGGAACGGTTTTTAATGTGAAAGACAACAACAACAACAATCATAGACTAAAATGTATGTGCGGATGCAGTGCGAAACAAACCCAATGGGCAAACCTGTCCGATTGCCACGCCGTGATGGGCTTCAGTAGACCCAGGAACAACAATTCGCCGGCAATCTTCATTGTCTTATCGGGGCACACGAGGTGTGAGGGCCGTTTTGCGGCGTTGTGAGCAATGGTATATGAGTTTGACTTGTCGGGGGCTCGAAAGCCGGAGGAAGCAGCCCCCCCTTTCTCCATACCACGGGGCCGCTGCACGTGTTTGACATTTTGTGACAATGCTCCGCTCCCCTCCCACCTGCCATGCACACTCACTTTGCTTCAGACTTGTGTTGCATCGATCATCTCATCTACCTTGACAGAGGCAGGTCGTTCGAACATGGCTTCTGGTGTACCACCTGTTGAAGATGGGCAGGGCGTTACTGCTGCCGTTGCTGCAGGAGGAACCGCGGCGACGACACTGGGAGCTCTGCGGGTAGTCATCGCTTCCGGGTGGGTCGCGCGGACGATATCCTTGCAAGTGGCATCTGTGGAGACGCTCCGAAGCTGCCGCGAGGTCGCGAACTTCCGGCTGAGAATAGCTCGCAAGACTCCGAGGAGGGTTTACCAAGACAAGTTCGCGGGTGGCGGCCGCGGCAGAGTTAGCCGCAGCATTATCTTGCCCCGCGTTGTCCGCGTGCTGTACGATCGGTCGGAGTTCGACCTCAAGCCTGGCTGGGCGCTGCCGGTCGAGTTGGTCGGGCTTGTTCTTGGGACGGAGTTTTGCGGAGACCTGAAAGGGGTTCCCTGGCCCCCGACCCTGAGCTCGATAGTATTTTGGCGGAGGTGCGTGCAATTGGGACGGCGAGAGTTGCCTTTTTGGCGGTTGGGCAAAGACATGTAGATTTTCTTGTACAGCAGTAGATGGACGAATAGAATCCCGTCCGGGGTCTCAGCACGGTCCGGAGTCATCGCACAGAGGGTTCGATGCAAGTATTGGCCTAGACTAAGGGTACCCGGACAACCTCCTGCTATGTTGCCTAATTTCGAAAACAAACGCAAGAGCGCCAGAAAATGCACTAGAGACACATAAGACCAGTCGGAAGGCATCGCAAAAAAAACAAGTCCAAAATTCTGGCACAGGGCAGCAGTAGAGACCGCTCAAAACGTGCCTTTCGCGCGTCTACCTCCACACGCATCCTTTGAAACCAAGATAAAAATCCACACCAGTCTAAATTCAAGTCAAAAGAGCCCAAACGGAAGGCGCTCAAATAAGGCCGGTGTTGCTAGGAACCTGGTCCATTGTACCAATATCACTAGAGGACACCCTATAGCAGCGGGGGTGTGTGTTGGCGCGCTCAAAACTTCTTCTGTGGTGGTGGTATCTAGTGTCGTTGTAGTGGCCCACAATCTCCGCAAATCTCCGCAAGTTAGATCGACACCCAGTGTCTTGTACTGCTTGTGCTCGCCGCCACTGAACCCAATCTTCTGAACTGCAGGTTTACAGCAGTAGCTGATGCCACCAGCTACTGCTGACAACCCGCAGTTGAGGGGTTTGCGGTCCGTGGTGGTGAGCACCGCTGTGACAAGTGTTGGGTTCCGCTTGGTTCCGGCGCAGATTTCGGACCGTTTCAGAGGCTGCTGCGACCTTCGATATTTCAGCCCCAGTAGTATACCTGAACGTGCCAGCACGCACGACGCCTCTTGATGATATCCTCCACTGATACTAGCACAACGGACCAGGTTCCTCCGGCGGGAAGGTTGTTTTCTTTCTTTGTACTGTTATAAAGTATGAGAAAAGAGCCAGCGTCAAAATCCCTTGTCTGGGTACCCCTAAATGGCGAAAATGTTAAAAAAATAACGACCGCACGGGGGTGCGCTGACTCGCAACCTTACGGTATGTACACTCACGGTCGCCCCGGTGGTCTAGTGGGTAGCCTCGCAGCCTGCTTAGGGCCAGGTCATAGGTTCGAGTCCCGACAGAGTGAGTTTTGTTCTCGCTATTGAAATCCTGGTCTCCGTTGGAAGCGACGCGCTGCAAAGCTCGTTGTTAGTAAACTTGATCGACTTCATCAGTCGCGAGGGAAGGGATTGCTGTACCCCTGTCGCGATAAAAATACCTCAGTCAGGAACCGCAGGAGGGGGTCCAACCCCCTCCTCCTATGTGACCCCGGTTGGGTCGTCTAGCTGGTATTATAGAAGTGGAGGATAGGGGCCGGAGGGGCAGACGACAGAGTCCAACAATGGGAGACAACAACCAACAAAAAAAAAACTCAACGACATGTTGATGTATGTGCTCACACTATAAGCAGTGAGGCACACACCGGCTTCTGCTGTGGCAAGAAACACAGCACTCAACGTCTTTCGTGCCAGTATACGTATGCCGCAACTGATGGAAAACTTGACCCCGGCTGCTACATACGTGGTGGCTCCATTATGTTTTTATCCGCTAGGTTTAATAGGGCGATCGATGAAGTAACGTGGCCGCAGTCGCTGAAGAAGCTCACGTTCGGCTGCAACTTTAATCAGCCGGTTCTAGGGGTACAGTGGCCTCCGGAGCTAGAGGTACGAAAAGGTGGCATGATGAATGGGGCGGGGGTAGGAAAGAAAAGCCGTATGCATCATTCGGGAGGGACACTTCCGTCCGTGGAATTGGAGAAATTACCGATGGCGTAGGGCCTAGTGATTCCGCAGGGGCTTACCGTTTCGAAAGCAAGGATCTATTTTTGTACACACGCGCTGTTTTGCACACTTCGGGGGCGAAACTGGACAGTCAGGAGAATCCCGCAGCAGTAGTGTACCACCGTCTTAGCTTGAAAGATTGGGCAGTGTGTGCGAAACTGACCACCGACCAGCTAGGGGACGCAAAGCGACTTCCCAACTACAGCCTCCTTGCAATGCTTGTGCTGCCTTGGGGGCCAACGTACGCGCGCAGGTCCTCACGTTCGGGAGCTGGTTTGACCGCCCCCTGGCCGGAGTACGCTTCCCGGACACTCTCGCGACCCTTACCCTGGGGAGGGACTTCAACCAGCCTCTTGAAGGCATCCAATGGCCGCAGCGGCTGGCTCGTCTGACTTTCGGGTTCTTCTTCAACCGGTCCATCCGAACCGCCGCAAAGAACTGGCCGTCCACGCTCAAGCACCTGTCCCTAGGGGACTGCTACAACTTGCCTGTCGAAGACGTGGAGTGGCCCCGGGGGTTGGAAGAGGTGAGAGGCCTCCTATGGTTGTCGAATAAGCACCACCACATGTAGGGCTCAATAGCAATTACTATGTGGTGTACCGCTGCGGCTACAGATTTGACGGTAGCCCAAATATGTGGTGACTGCGAGAGAAGAACGCAGGGAGGCGGGGTGGGGAGTAGGGTGATCCCAAGGTTTTTCAACCCATGGCGGGGTGGGGGGGCACCTCACGAAAGAGTCTGGAACGCGCGGAAGGGGGGAGGTGCCGATCGGGCGTTCGCGTCCGTGTCCGGCCCTGTAGCAGATGGTTTTGAGCGACGCAAACTACATCCTGACCGTCATCACTCCCCGCGGTACCCAGACCTGAACCGCACTCGTGAAGGTACCTTTGTGTGTGTTAGTCCCTGAGCCTCGTCCTCCCCGTCGCTGTCGTTGTCTGGTGCTGGTGAATCTTGCCTTGTTCGTTGCTGTCCGTCACACACATGCACACGCGCGCGCAGATATCGTTCGGTCGCGGGTTCAACCAAGAAGTTGAGGGAGTTGAATGGCCTCCGGCCCTGAGAAAGGTCAAGTTCGGGGCTTGCTTCGACCAAAGCATCGCCGGTGCCGGCTTTCCAGAAGAGTTGGAGACGCTTGAGCTAGGGTTCGCCTTCAACCGTCCGTTCCTTGACGTCGTTTTGCCAAGTGGACTTAAGAGGCTGGTGTTCGGCGAGGAGTTCAACCGTGCCGTGGAGGGCGTCGGTTTTCCGCCGGGGCTGGAGGAGATTAACTTCGGCGTGCAGTTCGATCAGCCGGTAGCCGCTGCGGTCTGGCCCGCATCGCTGAAGAAGCTGACGTTTGGGGACAGCTTCAACAAGCCGCTGGCTGGGATAGGGCTTCCCGACGGCCTGCTGGATTGCCGCTTCGGGAAGTGTTTCAACCAGGAGATCGAGCAAGTTTCGTGGCCCCACAGCGTGCGTTGTCTAGTGTTTGGCGAGGAATTCAACCACCCCATCTGCAACGTAGTTTGGCCCGAATCGCTGACGACGCTGAAGCTGGGGAGCGACTTCGACCGTAAGATGGAGGCCGGGGTCGTGTTTCCTCCGGGCCTGGATAGGATAGAGTTCGTGGACACCTACAGACGTGTGGAAAGCGGCGGAGAGGACAGCAGTTGACCTGTTCCGGTTTCTCGCCGATAGATGGGCCGTTTAGGAGAGCTGGAGTGTGACTGATTGGGAAGGCCTTTGTGGTGAGGAACGGGTACCACGGTTTGCCGTTTGCGTTGGCCCGCCCTGTACAGTTTGCGAACACATGATCTGACGTTGACGTGTCAACCAACAACTCCTGTACATAGGGGATGCAGTCAAACCTTTAATAAATCCCCTGCTGCGTGCAAGGAAGCGTGTTTGTGATAAGACCAACGGTTGGGAATGGGTTCGACGGAGCTCCGCGGCGACGGCGAGGAGGGCGATACTTTTTCCTGCGGAGGCACCTAACTCTTAATATATGGGGGTAGGTAGTCCGTTGCCCGAGAGTGAAGGTGCAAAGCCGGAGGACACCTCCTGGCAGCTTAACCAGTGACAACATCGACGTGCACAAGTGATGCGATGTACAAACCTGCATTCTTACGTGCGTGTTCTTTCGGTTGGCGTGTTTCTCAGTAAGAACACTCCTTGTTTTGGTTTTCGGGGAAGACCTTCGCGCTTTTCCAGGACTGCCGTCAAGTTGACCACTCCTCGGCATGTTTTGGTTTCATACGCTAAACACGAATTCAGCGTGGCAATTTTGCTTCGCATGTGATAGAGCTTCTTGCGTCACTATTTATTTCAAGATGATAGATGGCATGCCGCCTTGGGGGGTTGAACTTTTGGGAAGCAATTGTAGGTTTCTGCTGCCGTCTTGAGCAGTTTCTAGGGATTTTTTTTTCACCATTGCGTGTGCGGGATTCTTGTTGAATTTCCGAGGACAACATGGCACAGAGAAAATGTGTGTCATTTGTATGTGATCTCTTTTTGGCTGGACGTTGTTCAGTCTGTTTTTGCACCTTTCGGCATATATTTTCTGGAAGCATCGCAAGCCGGCTTCTTTCGGATACTGGGTGTCGTGCCCGGGGTGGAAGTGCCGGGACAAAGGAAAACGGGCTGCGGGCTATTGAGCACCATCGAGACTTGCCGCACAGCTGATCGCTTGCTTGGGAAACGGAGGTCTCCGTGAGTGCACCACCGTCCAAGGTGGTTTTCTAAAGACCGCAGTGAATGTGGTACATGCTGCTCGACTGAACGCCTTTCCCGTGCCTTGCTTTTTTATTTGCCCCTTTGTTGGAGAGTTCTTGAAACGTTAATGGAGACTTCATGCAAAGTTCTTGGGAACACGAATACCTACCGTCGACTGGTGGGACTCCGCGTCCTTTCCTACTTTGTGGTCGTTGGTGTCCCCAACCTCGGCAGCATACGCCACCCTTAGTACTCGACGGCAGCAAACAGTATGCAATTCGAAGGCCCCGTCACCAAGTTACAAGAACAGCTGGTTGGTTGAACTTACTAGGGGCTCAAGCGTCGACCCTCCGGGACGAACCCACAGAGATTCACCGTCCGTCCACATGACATAATTTCCGCACGCAATGCCTCCCAAATCGCAAACTATGTGTTACCTGGGATTTCCTTCAAAGCGGTGATGGGAATCGCCTCACCCCTGCGGTATAACCGCCCGCCTCTGCTTCATATCTACTCTGCCGACATTCCCACATCGACAAGGCACGGCCGATTGGAAACCCCGGGATAGTGCGTGGCCTTCTTCCTGATGTCCGCCGCCAGCTACTAACCTCTCGGGTGATCTTCTCAAGGCCTCGAGAACCCAGTGAGACGACGCCTGCCTACATGGGAAACCCAAACGTGCGCTGGAAATCGCGTGCAAAAAACATGATGAAACCGTTGACCGCTTCACAGCGCGGTGCCTCTCTCGAGGTTCTGGCGGATCTCCACCGTGTACTTGTCGTAGGCGCGCTTGATCTTCTTGTTGAAGTGCTTGTTCCTGTCGTTGATGTAATCGATGTCCGCCGCGCTGTGCTCTGACCTGCGTCGGCTGAACGCGTCTTTCCGTTTCCCCTGTTTCGTTGCGCCAGTCGAAAAAACGAAAAAAACGAAATAAAAACACGAGACAAAACAGATGGAAAACACACATATAGTCACTCATGTATTTTCGGGTGAGAGGTGCAGCATGCGCCAACGCCTGTTTGTGCCATGATCCTCCGGCAACGAGGCCGATCAACAGAAAGTCCGAAAAGGACGGTTCGACATTAAAATGCTGCAGTTGATTTCATCTTCTCGCGAGAAATGGTCATGGCAGGGACAAGAACACTGGGGAATTCTTGATACTCGCCAACATGTATATGGACGTCCACACCAGCCTCTCCCACCATTGTCTCGAAAACACCTTGCGCCAACATAAACATGCACGAGCGCATGCGCGCCTCGCAAGCTGGAAATCATGCCATGCGAGAGACGTCGTCACACCACACACGCAAAGCCCCGGCTAGGGACATGAGAACATCGAGAAAGTTTGCTCAGCAGACACCTGTGGCGCATAATTCGGAACGACACACAAGATTCAAAATTGTATCGTCTATTAGTAGCCATGTCGTACCTTCTCCACAAGCTCGTCCACCACGCGTTGCATCCCCTTCGAATCTGCGTCGCCCCTCGTGCCGTACTCGGCCGTGTCCTCCTGCACAGTGCCATCACCCGGAGACGGGGGGGAGGCACAGCTGAAATTCTGCGGACTTTCACGAGGCATTTTCTGCCACGGCGGGAAGCGGGTATGTGCTGCGGACCACTCAGGCGGGGGCATTGCCGTACGGGGGCTGTAAGCACGTGACCCTTGACCTCTGTCCTAAAAGTGCACCCCAACAGCAGTAGTAGTGTGCGAACGGAATCTTGTCACATAGTTCGAAAGGAGAGGAGTGAGAACAAGCCTACGATTTTTCGAGGGCACTACTTGATTTCGGCAGAGCTCTCCGACTTCAGCCGCAACATCACCACATAGACTGCAGTCGAGACCCCGACTACACAGCGGGTGCGGTAGTCGTTCAAGCATACCTCCCAGCTCAAAGTCGAGGATTCCCGCAGAATACACATGGGAAACACCTGTATCGCTTCGGATGTACACAAGCTATCGACCAGCCACATCGCCGGTACAGCAGTACTCGGAACGTGCGCCTACTTTCCAGGCACGGACTGGCGAGATCGCAAGACACGAGTTCCAACAGTCCGTCGTAGATGATGACACAAACTCCGCGGTGCAATTGGAACACAAGCTACATCGACGAATCTACATGCAACGTCTGTTCACACACCATGCGTGCCGATTCTGAGCCAGCCTTGGCCTTGGGCAATTTATCCAGCCGCTTCTTGTAGCCCTTGAAGAGCGCGTCTTGGTTGAACACGTTCCACCCTGTCGTCGAATGCCACACGAAATTTCCAGCGGGAAACAGAGGTCCTTGGTGGCACGTGAAAGAAAGCATGAGCCAAACCAAAAAATAGTACGCAAAGCTCGTGAACCAAAACACATCACACGAAACGCTATGCCTGATGCTTCCAAGAAAATCCGCCGCCGACAAATTGAGGCAAATTTCTTCTACCGGGGGAATTGACGGGGCGGACAAGAACGAATCCTTCGCGGGGGAGAAGAGGGAAATGCCTAATTGTTGCGGGGGAATAAGCAGGGCCGCGAAGGACAATCCGTTGCGGGGTGAGAAAACGAAGCGCAAATAAAAGAAAAACTTGCCCGTGAACAGAACGAGCGGGAAAGAACGACATTTTCAGCGGGAAGACTCACCGAAGGCGGCCTTGTGTTTGTCCTTCTTCTTCTTGTGCTGCGCGGTGATATCCGCCGACTGTGCAGTCTCCATCATAAACGCCTCATCTTTCGACAAACCCCTCTCTTTCATCTCCGCTTCCCACCGCTTCTTCGCCTGCGGGATATTATGACAAAAAGAAGGGCAGCACCGGGGCGAAGCCTGTACGTGTCAGTTGTCCTCGCACAGCTGACCGGCTGCCCGCTGAAAAGGCGCCGGTCGCTAGCGGGACAAAAACTACTCGGCCGCTCCCTAACTCTCTTTCCCTATCGTTGCAGAGGCCGGAACCGACATGATGCGAAGAAATACAACCAACCGAAGCCTCCCGAACAGGATGGCGTGAAGAAGCGCCCAGCAGCACACCTCAAACAAATTGACTTGAACCAACCACTTTCCTCAACAAGACGACTTGAAAAACAAACACACCGCAACTCACCTCTCGGCAAAACGCCCCAGACCAAAACTCCGAAAAACAAGACGCCTTTACACATACAAGACAGGTGTCGGGCGAAATACCCTCCCTGCATTGACCACCGCACCTCTTCTTTTTCCTTCGTGCGCATCTTGGCCGCGTATCCCGGATCGCTGAGCCGGTTGTACTCGTCCTTCACCGCCTTCTTATTTGCCCGCCTCCCCTGCGACGCACCACAGCAACCAACAACCGTTCTTGATGCATATGTTTCTCATGGACGAGGGCGTGCGCAATGTACCAGCAGTGTGACGCTAAAACAGCAACGACTTGGCCGGCGTGCTGTCCATGGCAGCCGTGCATCGTCGACACATAGCCCACAAGGTAATCATATTCTGAATGCAATCCGTCTTCCCTCTATTGCAGCGTTTGTGTTGATTTTTCTGGGTCTCTGAAAGCATATGATCTATTTCAATTTGCGTACTGTGTTGTACCCTCTTGATGGTGTTATACTGTTTCCGTGACCCCTCAAGGCAAAGAGCAAAGAACGGCACGGATAGTGAAAAGCACAACAAAACCAACGCTGCAGCGTCGAAAGCTTGTCTTGGTTCAATTCTTCGATTCATGCCGAACCTTGGCACGTGGCACCACAGGGCCGTCTTGGCCTCTACTGGTCCTGATTAGTCTGGCCGAGACTTACCGTGTTTTCGCCTGGCCTGCATCGAGATGAACAAAAAGAGCACTGGTGTAAACGCCACGATGCTTTCCTTGAAAGCAGGCGACGGCGATCTGTTGGTGTTGAGATGACGCTTGATCTCTCAACTCCTGCGGTTTTCCATCGCCCCCAACGCCCCTAGTAGAAACCGCTGCAGAGGCTTTTAACATTTTCAAGCCGCACAAGACACACAAAGTTTTGGATCCGCCGAAGGTCTGAACTATGGAGGGTAACCGCACACCTTGTTCATCTTGAGACGGATCTTGAACAAGCGCTGCTCCACACTGCTCATCTTCCCCAGCGTCGCCTCGTCTGGCTCCTCCAACACCTCCTCCTCCTCCTCCTCCTCCTCTTCCTCCTCCTCCTCCTTCTGGGCAACCGATTCGTCCTCTTCTGTACTCCGCCGTGCGTCAGCGTCCCCCCCCGCTGCCCCTGCCTGCCCCACTTGCCCGGACACCCCACCCGCCTGTTCGTCATCTTCCACCATCTCTCCCACCTAAGCATCGCGTTACGAACGGTACAAAAGTGTTTAACACGTGCGCCCATCTCCAACAATCCGGCGCATCGTTAGCTACTGGAACGTATCGCTCCGACGTTGATCAGGAGGGGGACGGTACTAAAAAAACGCTCTCCCGCGAAAATCAAGATCGGGTTTTGCCAAGAACGACCAAAGCGTGTAATAAAAACATTCATACGCAGCAAAACATAATTGCAAAAATATCATAACGAATACACCAAAGACCATCCATATCAAAAGCGCTCTTTTCGCTCGCCCACTACTGCTTGCCCTGCGATACGCCCAGTCTCCCTCGGCAAGCAAGAAACACAAGACACGGCAACGTCGCGTCTACCGAAATAAAAGAAAGTAGCGCGTGGGACCTTCTCTGAACCGTCACCAAGCAAGAAGTGTGCATGTTAAGGGTGCCATATGGCAGGGAGAGAAGCCTACGGCACCGGCCGGAAAACGTGCCGAGAAGATGCTGGTGACCCAGGAACCGCGCTGGGTTCAGCATAAGACTATCATCGCTTGTCCCCCCCAATCGCATGACCGTGTGGTTCGTGCTCTCTCTTGTTTCTTCGTAGTTTTCTGTATCCATTGGTGAAGGAATAAGGATCGGTCGGGGCGGTTCGTCTCGCGTCTCAGCCTCTGATTGGCTGAACAACCAGCTACGCAAGAGGGGAAGAGGCCCCGGCTGGCAGAACAACAACAGCAACAAGAACAACAGTGACACACCACCACCAACAACACCAATAATGGCACCAACATCAACACCAACACCAACACCAACACCAACACCAATAATGCCACCAACACCAACACCAACAACAAGAACAAACTACGAGCTACCATTCTGAAATCATGCGCCCACAGGAGGAGCCTCCCCGACACGATACCATGCCGTGTAACGACATGGTAGGGTGTGGTCACATACCACGAAACACACCTGTCCACAGTCATCGATCGTGACCGCCAGCCGTGGTCGGTCGTTCCCGCCGGTAGACACCTTCTCCATGATGTCCAGCACCTATATGTATCATGCACGAGGGAAAAGCACCACAACCCAGGGGCGATTGACAAGGGGCGACGACCGAGAAGGTTAGTCACGCGGCAACGCATGCCCGGCACACACGTAACGTCAAAACGGTACGACTGATGTCTCCTTCATCATTCGAGGAACACAAGCACGGGTGTTCGGGTGTGCTGACGTCTTTACCTCCCCATAGGCACGGGTAGTTGTAAACCAAAAACACACACATACACATACGCACACAACCCGATGGCACCGGCGTCTGTTCATTGGTCAGCCGGCTAGCAAAAAACATGCGGAGCATCAGCACATCAAACCACCGTCGTGTGATGTGGGGGCGTAGAGCACGTGAAAGCATCACCTTTCAAGCCGGAGCGCGGGGTAACTCCGCAACATCATGTCCCGTTGTCGGTGCGCTCCGATCGCAGGCAAATCGATCCCTCTCGGCCTCTCTCAGGCCACCACTCCGTCTCATCGGTTCATCACAAGCCAACAAATACCCTTCTAACGCGATCCTAACATTTCTCAGGTAAGTGGACCTCACGTGGCGTTCGCGACTCACCTCCATGCCCTCCACCATCTTCCCGAAGACAGTGTGCCGGCCATCGAGGTGTGGTGCTGTGCCGAAGGTGATGAAGAACTGCGACCCGTTCGTGTCCGGCCCCGCGTTGGCCATCGAAAGCAGCCCTCGCCCCTCGTGCGTGCTGTGATAGTGGCGGCCAGCACGCACGTGTATCCAAACAAAAAGAGGAGGCGCTCGGCGGAGGTACTGTACACTCCCCCCCGCCGCCGACGCGGCAAGGTGTATTGTAGGCGTGTGGAAACGCACTCCGCCCGACAGGAAAGAGAGTATACGCCGAGCACGGATGAAGCAACCTCTCTGCGCCTACCTTCCTCCCTACATCCCTCCCTCGAGGTCTATCTGCCTGTACTTACCCATTACCCCATCATAACCATCCCTGCATCGCACCTACACACGTGTACCGATCAGTGCAGCCTCAACCACGCGCACAAATAACCGAGTGTTGTTAACATCGGCAGTAGCCTCGTCCATCAAAGCAAGCGTCAACGAAGCACGCTACCGGTCGCCTACAGCGCCACATCATCCAAGCCTGTACGACTACGTAACGTGCAACATGTTTGGTTGAGGCTGCAGACTCACCGGACGAAATTCTCGTCGGCAAACTTATCCCCGTAGATGGATTCTCCCCCGGTCCCGTCCCCCCTTGTAAAATCGCCTCCTTGGGCCATGAAACCCGGGATTATGCGGTGGAAGATCGAGTCCTTCGTAGATAAGAACCGTCAGATCCAACGACGAATGAGTTCACGGCAGTAGCAGTGTTGCTGGAGCAGCAGGAACGGAGCACACACGTGGGTTTTGCTCTCTGGCGAAACCAGAATTGTTCTCATGCTGGAGAGGAAAGAGGAGGGTGGTTAGAGAGAACCACATGCTGAATGCAGTAGCCTTTGCCAGAATTAAGCTTGGTTATAGCAGGGGGTACGGAAAACAAGAGAAACAACAACGTCGTCGCGGAGGCGATCCATTGAATGCTTGGTTGACGCCGTGTCATCAGAAAACGGACCACAGCAGTTGTGTTGACAGCACGAGGGCCTCAGTTCACTCCGTCTGCGTGCTCCATCTAACCTTGAAGTGCAGCCGTTGGTTGGTCTTCTTGCTGACGCCCCGCTCCCCCGTGCACAGCGCGCGGAAGTTCTCGCTGGTTCGCGGCACCACGCTGGCGTAGAGCTCGAAGACCATTCGACCAACTGCAGCAGCCACCAAATCACGCAGGAAGGGATGACGAGGGGCGTCGTGTAAACGAGCGGCATCGTCGACAGGCAGGGTATGTCCCCAGGCGCCTCAAGCCTATTATCACCCATCTGCAAACCATCGACGCCATCAGCACTTCCTCTGTGGAACTCTCTACTGCTGTTCATTTCCCCTTGGATTGGAAAGTACCGCAGTCAAACCTGGGGTTCGGACGGTTCTTTTCTGTCGAGCTACGCCTCTCCCATACTCTTCAAGCAATATAAACGAGATGACGTTGACACCAGGTAGCCCAAGACAGACTACAGCGTACGAGTGCATTCAATGTCTCCCTAGGTTGTAGGTTGGTCGACAGAGCACCGCGGTAGTTCGCAACTGCAGGAGCAGCGGCTTGGCACTGACACAAAAATGGGGGGAGGCGAGGCTGACTAAAGAGCACACCAGGCTACAGGCGAGAGCCAGTTCGCAGTCAGGTGATGCTACAGGCACGGCAAAGGGGATCATAGCCAAAGACAGTAAAGCTTGGATATCGGCACATCGGCACCCCCGTGGCCAGGCGCGCAGCGGAGGGACTGCTTGTGTAACAAGTTACGCTCCGTCGTTTGCCTTGGTTGCCCATGCCTGACATCAAACCAAAGTTGCGCCCTCAAATTAAACGTTTCGGTACCTCGTTACCGCCACCCGCCACCTGCATGCATTGGCTGTTTCTGTCCATGGCAGGTCTACCGGTGCAAGTGCGGGAGTTGTTGGTGTGTCAGGCCCCATGGGTGTGTGGGTACTGCTTTGTACCGTGTTATAGTGGGTACGGGCAGCTGCCGTGGGAGCGGGAACAGGATTTCCGGGCTACATAAGTAGGTGTGCGCTGTCTTCTTGGAGCAGCTTCTTCTGAAATCAGTGTCGTAATAAGAGCGTGGATGAAGCGACGAGTACGGGGGACAGGCCAACAACCCCTTCGCATATTATCATAATATCGAAGGCTGTACAGCACAGCACAGCACGGTTGCTGTAAGCTATTGACAAAAGCAGAGCGGGGCTTGATACCAAGATTCCGCGGGTTGGAAAGGTCGAAAAGTAAACCGTTTCCTCACCCTTTCGATCGCCGATTCTGATGTCCATGAATATCTGTGGCCCTCCCTCCCCCTGTTTTGCCGAAGAAGAAGCCATCGCCACCCTCTCCCTCCCTCTCTGCGCTCGTGTCTGCTGTACCTGGATGCGCCGTCATGCCGGGGCAACATGAACAGGACGTATCCGGGGGGATATGAAATAATTCTGCAGCCACGGAGCCTCTTCTGAGGATGCGCCAGTACAGCAACATTTCGCGCACCGACAGACAGGGAGCAGGGAGAGCAAGGACTCCCTATCACCATGCCATGAGATCATCCCGCTGCGTTCTTCTGCTGTTGGCGCTGACGGGTTTGTCCGGGAGTCGCGTTCTCTCGTTGGAGACAGCCGTAGAGAGCGCCCCTCGTGCCAAGGCTGCTCGTGATTTGCAGGAGGTGCACACAGCGGCATCAGCAGCACTCGACGCTTCAAGTCAACAGCAAGGTGGAGACGGGCGCCGTGAGCTCGATGTAGCTGCACGCGTGGCGGGTGAGGATAAGCGGTGTTCCGAAAGGGGGAGTTGTGGAGTACAAGGGTAGCACATGAGGCGGAGTATATTGACTCTAGTTGGCATCAAGTGCGTTTCAAATCGATCGAAACTTCTCCGTATTGCGCAACTAGAGGGAAGGCCTGGGTTGCACTTCGCAGGCACGCTGCGGGCGACCCAGTGGACGGTCGCTTGCCGGGGGCAAGGGTCAACGCTTCTTCTTCGTGTCTTTGTACTTGACACCTGAATACTTTCGTCGCTAGCGTACTCATAGATTCGTCGTGCTACTAGCAGTACGCGCAGATACGCATCAAAGATTCCGCAGATTCAGTCCAGCCTCGTGCGATAGTACGAGAGGAGCAGACCGCCGTGTAACTCGCTGCGAGCAGATAGTTCGTCACTTGGAACACGTCATGGGAAATGCTGCTTGTTTTTTGTTTGGGGGTAATCTCCAGTTTTTTGCACGCCCAGGCGCGCTTTGTACTCGCATATTAGTGTCGTTTGTGTATGGTAATCTACAGGGACACGGGACACCCGGGATGTACCAGTAATAAAGGTACAAGGTGACTCGAATCAAAATCGGCTACGCCGTAGCAGCAGGGGATTCATCTCGACCTGCAACACTACATTCCACGAAATCCAGTGTGATCTCATCCTATGATTCCACATTCGCAGCAATGAACAAGCTCTGGAAACTATAGGCGGCATCCACAGCCACGTGGCGTGCACACACCAGATCATGACCGCTCCTCTTTCTAACACCCTCCCGCCGGGCTTTGGCGTGCTTCGCTCTTTCCAAATCACCGCCCACCCCCGCGTCCCGTTACTCGCGTGTGCTACCCGGAATAAACCCATGGAACAGCACGGTGGCCGAAGCCTTCAGGACGAAAGCAGCCGGTAGCGACAGCGGCGTTAGACGGGGGCGAGGCCGACGAAGCTTCCAGCGGAGGTTCCTGGGGTTTCGATAGGAACGCTGGCGGAGAGGGAGGCGGGGACGCCAGGGCCAGAGGATGGCAATACGGGGTCAGGTATATACAATTGCGTGGATTTTCAATGATCGCCACCCATGGTAGTCGCCAGATTTTGGGATCTTTGTGAATATGCTGAGGTAAACACGAGCTTGCACATGACAACAGCTGTCCCGTAGTTGCTGACCGACGATTCTTCTCGCAGCCGGCCAAAGGGCCTACAGCACCCGTCAACAGCAGACGACCTCTGCAAATCTAGTGCATCACTGATGGGGTATTTCTGTCCCATCCGGGTGGACCCGCTAGCGCCGATGGTCACATCAACGTGTCACCGTCTGATGCCTGATACATCCCTTTGTCTCCAATACTTGGTACACAAAGGGAGGCGTGTTTTGCTGTAGATTCGTGTTCGTAGGCTGTCCGAAACGTATGGGTTTTGATTCATACGGTGACAGAACCCAGAGCTGTCAAAAGCTGCGTGTCTAGCAATTGACGTGCATGGCCCTTGCCACCCACACCTGCAACAAGAAATACCGGTATTGGACAGATTACCCGATTTTTCGAAGGGCTCAGTAGTGGGGACCACCTGGCCCCCGTGCCCTTCATGAATGGCGACGATCACCTTTCATCTTTGTGTTGCAGCAGGGTGCCGGAACTGCGTGCTATTCCGTTGATCGACGTTTTACAGGCTGACGTTTCTAAGGCAGTCCGATCACGTCATGTTTACGGCTGTGCCGCATTGTCGCCTCCCCTGCTGCTGCTGCTGCTGCTGCTGCTGCTGCCGTCGCCGTTGTGTTTGTCAAACGTTGGTAGGAAGCCGCGTCAGTCGGAGGCCGCAACGTTCTTCAACTCGCTCGACGAGAACTCGGACGGTGTTCTGGCCGAGGACGAGATCAGAGAGGTCTGGAAATACTTCAGTAGCGTCGGCGAGGATATAAAGCTTAGTTTTAGTAGGGGTTGGGGGTTAGGGTTAAGGATACGAAACCCCCCTCTCTATTTCATAGATCGAGGATTGAATCCTCTCGAAGGCGGTCTAAATCCTTGGTGCACGTGTAGCTGTGCTGTTTGCGTGTTCCGTGTAGTCGAGGAGGGAGGCGTCGGGGATCGCAATTTTTCATGCGATCCTTGTCATACATACCTCTTCCAGGGTGACTTGAAAGTGTCTTGAGGGGGGGGCACGGTTCATAGGAATAGCTCTTGTGACCGTTCGTTCGGACCGCTTGTTCGAATCCGTCAGCGGGTAATGTTTCTCAAGCTTCGAAAAGAACCTACAGGACACCATACCGGGGGGGATTCTTCAGTCCTGTCAAACAAAGTGCTGAATGAACGATAAACAGTTCTCCCAATGGTTTCGAGGTTTTGCCATGCACAAGAGCGCTGCAACACAGTGGTGTGAACGCTTGCAACCACTTGACCAACCGATGCGGCCATCGCCGTGTTGTTTGCGGCAGTTCGTTGGTTACGTCGGAGGAAGCAGCTTGGATGATAACTCGGAGATCTTAGGAGGCGTGTCTACCGTCATGGGTCGTCTCGATACGGACAGCGAAAAGGGCATCGGCCTCAAGGAGCTCAGGTGCTGGCTGCCGTTGTCGGCTGTATGGTGTTTGTTGTTGTTTGTTGTTGTTGTTGTTGTTGTTGTTGTTGTTGTCGTCGCCCTCCATTTTGCACCGACCCCGGTGTGGATAGCACAGCTTCGCATACCACAGCTCCTTTCGACCTTTCATCGCCGTGCTTTTGCAGCCCTTAGATCAAAATGCCAAGAACATTGCTCACTGAGCACGAGGAGGCGCGGACTAGACTGCCCCCTGCCACGGTACACGCATGAAATCCCCCCATCCCCCCCCGCCGAGGTCTACGGTATAACGACCGACTATGGCTTGCGTTGCATGAGTGGCCCCCCTTCGCGAGAAGATAAGTTTATGACGAAATGCACACAACGGGTAGGGGAACGCAGACCCGATCCCTCACCCAACTTCCCCGATTGCATGCTTTCTCCAACATGTTTTACTTTCACGAACAACCAGCGAGGGCTGCTGACATGATTACACCCCCCCCCACCACCCCATACACTTCCGTCTTTTTTAGCTCTTGGATTAATCGCCTGGGACCGATGTTGACCGTCGAGGAGGCGGCGGACTGGGTGTCTCATGCTGTCCAGCTGCCCCGAGAAGTCGCCGAAGCCTTCCGGAGCAACTCCATCTCCGCCTACGACTTCCCCGAGCTCGTCGAGGACAACGGTGCCGGCCTGTACGACCTTGGCATCAAGAGGAAGTTCAGGAAGCGAATCGTGAAGGTACAGCAGTACGTCGATTGTCGTCATCGGTTGGGCAGAGGAGGGGCTGTTTTGAGGATCGATCGAGGCTGCTGTGTGTTGGGTATGCGCTTAGAGGGGGGGGAGGCAGACTGGGGCGGTGCAAAAGAAGCGAATAACGTTGTAGATGGCGTTTGGGTGTGAGGGCGTCGCAGAGAGGGAGGTGATTTGTGGCATTTCACGCCAGGTGTCAACTCGATTTGTCTTCGGCCAGGCTCGAAGCCGGGTGTCTTTGAAAATCTTGAGTGTGGCAGCATGATACTGTTTGCCGTTCCATCTCAATAGAAAACTGTGCCAGGCATACTGGTTGTCCTGCGTGGTGGCCATCTTCTGTCTGTGCGCCCCCCCGCTGGTGCGTCCAAACCCACACCGCATCGTGCGTTAAACTGACGCCCAAATGACGTGGGGTGGCAGCCCACACATGGAGTAGTAGTATAGCAGCACAGGTCTCGTACGGAACCTATCATACTCGCCCTACCGACTGGCTCTCGCGAAGTGCGGGGACTGCCTGGTACGCTACGAAAGGTTGTATTCATAGATGTCCTGTGTCCGGGTGCCCCCTGGCTGCCCCTACCTCCGTTTGGCTCATGTCCTCCTGGTGCTCGCCGTTACGTTCCCCCCCTTTTTGCCGCCGAACCCTACTCCCTCGGTACGAAACAGGCAATCGAAGTCAGGCTTCTTGGTCTGGGGGACGAGCCCCCTCTCCCCGTGCTGCACCCGCCCTCCTACCTCGGGGGCGGCAAGGCAAGGATAGAGTGGTCCGCCGGAGGGGTGGGGGACGCGGGAGACGGTGCCCCGGATGGGGAAGGTGACTCGCCGGCGGCGGCAGCAGCAGTAGCAGCAGCGTCTGCCGGCGGGCCGGCCGAAAGCGAAAACGATGATGGCGCTCCGCGGGAAGAAGACGGAGTTGGCGATCACTCTTCGGCGATGCTGCTGCCGCCGCCGCCGCCGCCGCCTGCGGCCTCGTCACTGTCACGTGCGGCCACGTTCCCGGTGCACAAGTACGTCCTGCAGCGGTCTTGCCCTCACAGCTACGCCGCGGCGTCGTTGGAGGCCGGCGCGGGAGGGGGGGCGGCGGCGGAGAATCAGGGTACCGGCGGCGGAGGGGGGCGGGGGTTCGTGGAGGGCAACGGCGGCGGGGGTGGGTGGGTAACCATCCACGAGGCGGATGATGTCGCGTCCGTCAGCGGCTCTTCGAGTTTCGTGTTTGTCGACTCCGGCCTGTCGCCCGGGAAGACTTACGTGTACAGGTGAGTGGGGGGGTGAATGCCTTATTGGTCGTCGCTGTCGTGGGGGTTGGAAAAAGCGGGCGGGTGCTGCGGTTCTTTGTTGGCGCTTGGTGCTATTTGAATCCAAACATTCCTTCGTTTAGATCGCGGCTTTGTCTCCCCGGAATGCTAAAGCCTTTTGCCGAAGACACGCTACGTACGGATCGTGATGAGTACCCTCCCCGACCCCAAATCGTTTTTCTTTGTTTATTAAGATTTCGACAGAGGTTTATGGCCTGTGGTCCTTGGCCCTACCCACGCTGAACATCAACGACCCTTGTCCGTGAAACATCCCAAACAGGGTGCGCGCTTGGAACCTCATCGGACACAGCGAGGCGCCCACTGCGCACGTCACCACCCCACCGGTCCACTCCCTCTGGACGAAACCGTGGCGGCTCATCTCGCCCTGGTGGCCAACCGGGAAAATTTCCGCCGCTTCTTCTAGTTCCGCCGCATCTCCGGCAGCCTCCGGCCTCCAAGTGCCCGAAGGCATGGGTGCGCCTTCCTCTGTTGCGAGAACGGCCGGACCTACCGAAGCGGGCTTTGGAGACCGAGGAGGTCTCGGAGGGGCCAAGACGGAGGACGGGGGACAGGCTTCGGGCTGTGGGTGGAGGGACGTTTTCGGGGCGACGTGGTCGGTGCTGTCGTGGGGTGGGTGGGCGGTGATGGCGGTGGTGAAGGTGCTGCACGCGATGCTGGCTTTGGCAATGCTGCAGGCCAACCTGACGGTGAGACGACCACCCTTTGCGCGGGGGGTTCCGGGTGTGTGCTTTTCTCCTGCGGGGGTGGCGCGGTGCTTTTCCCGGGTCAGCTTCGTGAGGATCTCGATCTACTTGTTTGTCCCGTAACTTCTGTGTATTATCGACGGCGTATCATTTTGTCACTTTGGTAGTGGCAATTCGGTTTGTGTTTTGTTGATGGTGATGGGGTATTTGCGACAGTCGACGGCCACTCTTGGAACCGTGGCAGAAATCAGCGACAACGTGTTGCTGCTGTCTCGAAAAGGCAGACGCACTGTCTGTGCGTTGGAGTCATTTCATGGAGGCCAATCGGCCAACGCAGCGGGTTCCCCCCCCTACACGGAAGCGGACACGCTCCTCGTTGATGCCATCAGGAAGTGGAATTGGCGAGGCTTGTTGTGGGATGTATTGGTGGTCGCCAAACGGGACAGGCGCAAAGTGCTTCCCCTCACATCTCGCGATCTCCACTAAAAGTCTTGAGCATTTTATGGATAACCTGTGCGAGTCTCGCTGCTGCTGCTGCTGCTGCTGCTGGCGTGGTCACCTCTTGCACGCGTACTGTCGTGCCGTGGTCTTTTTTTTTTTTTTTTCGTTTTA